GCAGCTGGGGGAGGGGTAGCCTGCGTGAGCTGCCCGGCGTCCTCCCGCGCGCCGCGCAGCCTCGGTGAGGCGTCCTCTCGCCCCAATCCGTGCTCCGGGACCCCCAGCTCAGGCTGGGCGCGGGTCCGTACCGTCGCCCCGGGGCAGGACAGCCCGGCTCCCCACGGTGCCGCAACCCAGTGTCTCCCACGGGGATAACTTCACTGAGGCTACCCCTCCCCCAGCTGCGTCCTCTCTCCTGGCTTCTCCACCCCCAGAGTCACTTTCACTTGCCAGATGTACAAACGCGCCCCTGCCTACCTCCCACCCAACCCCAAGTCCCTGCGAGCTTCCCTAAGTACCCCCTGTCCTCTGTGCAGCAGGTAAGGGGGACGCAGGCGACTGGCTCTTTCCCGTGTCCCAGCCTTGGGTCCACCCTTCTTCCCGCACCTCTGTGAGACTGGGTGGGAGTGCTGTACGGCGCTACCCTCCCAACTCCTTTATTTTCCTTGAGTCCCAGGCTGGCGGCAGAGCTGTACAGTGTGCAAAGTGTATATGAAGTTATTTATTCGTGACCCATGAGCCCGTAACAGTGTCCGTGAATCAGTGAGTCTGTGGCCTGTGCCCTCCTCGCCCCGGGTGGGGCAGGAAGGAGCCGAGAGGGCTTGCCCATGCATCCGGGCCCCCAGCTCCCCTTCCTTCCACCCAGGTCCCGGGGCAGCCAGGCCTCTTGGGTTCTCTTTTTTAAATGTGGAAATAAACTTCTTACAAATGACCAGGCGCCTGTCCGCGCTACTTTCCGTTGGTTCCCCCATCCTTCATAAGAAACTTCAGCATCTTACACTACATTTCCTTCTATTCGCAAAAACGTAAAGTTTTCTCTCCCCCTTGCCCTGTTCCCTGGTTCTTGAGTGCCGTGGTCACGCGCAGGAGACCCTGGCTGGACTTCCAGAGGTCTCCCCGTTTCCACATCGAGGCGTGTCTGTAGCTCTCGGCCTCCCCATCTGATTCGTTCCGCTTTCACATGGGGACCACGGGCGAGGCCAGCGCCTGGCCTCCCTCTGCTGCGTGTCAGGCCACGAAGCACTCACTGAGCCGACTCATCTGGCTCAGACCGGGGCGCCGGCAGCTGGTGACCGGCCCTGCGGGCGCGGGGCAGACAGATGGACTCCGAGGCTGCTCCTCGTTGCCCCACCCTCCTCGGCCCGGCGCCCTCCGCTCTGGCTACCCGCAGCTCCTAGTCTCTTATGCCTGGTAGGACCCCAAGGGCCTTCGCGAGATTGACGCCACGTCGAGCAACCCTTTGCTCTCCATCCTCTACTCCCCGCCCTCCCCGCGCGCCCTAACCCTGGGAGAAATAGAGGCGGGGTAGGGGGCAGATCGCACCACCCGCCTTTGAGTCAGACTCCAGATCACGTTCAAAGGGCCAAGGTCACCTCCTGACACCTTCGGTCTCCCAGGATGTGGGCGCAGGTGCTACCCTCCCCCACACCACCTGCAGCACACTGACTTAGAAGGAAATGTAGTGTAAGAAAGAAATGCCGGGGAGTTTGGATGCTTGCAAGCAAAGGACCCTCCCAGCATTTCTGGTCCAACTGTTGGGGAAAGAACCTGGCAATGGAGGGAGGGGCGTATTCAGAAAGCCCCCGCCCTCAACTACTAGTTCGGCTACTGTTTCCTCCCCACCCCCAGCATCCTCACACCCCAGCTTTTCTTTTATGGGATGGTGGGGGTATTATTCTAATTTTGCAAAATGCACAGCAGCTAATTAAGTCAAGGAGCCCCTCGGCTTTCAAGTTCTTTTGCATGTGAATGCGGGTTAGTAAATCCCTCGATCTGGCTGTGGTGGGGTGTGAGGGGGGGACTGTCCCCAACTCAGGGTTAATGAAGTGGGAAAGAAGTCTCTCATAGCCTCCTGCAAACAAACCCCCCAAGCAACAAACCCTGCCCAAATCCTACACGGATTGACTTAAACCCAGGGGATAAGTGCTTTAAATTAATCTCATTGAATAAGAATGAGACCAAACAAAACTCTTTAAAATCATATTAAAAATCTATCAAAGGACAACTTGCGCTGGTGTGCTTTTCATTTTGTGAGAGTGGAGGAGGCAGGCTAGAGCAGCCACCCTTACATTTACACAGTGCAGTGTAAACCGCAGACACATTCTGACTATGTAATTGTCCTTGTACCGCAGAGGCGATTTCATATCTTACATTAATGAAGAACAAGGCTTCCCTACAAGTTTATAATTACAATATTTTAAATTGTCCTGCACATCCCATCTGTAATAATAACTCCACAACCTCTGCAGTGAGGTGGGCTTGCGCTTCCCATCCATTTAGAAGGCTAAATTGGCTTCTCTGTTCCGAACCCAGGGGCTGGGTGCCCTCATTTAAAACAGAAAAAAAGAATGACCGTGAGAGACCCCCAGTGGACCAAACAATAGGCAGGTCCTGAAATACATTCTCCCTTCTAAATCTGGACTCCTAATGGCGGGGACAACCAAGTTTGAGGTTAGCTTTTTCAGCTAGCCCTCAGCTACGTGGCTTCTGGAACCTGAGTGGTTTTTTGTTGTTGTTTTGTTTTATTGGGGGCACTACCCTGACAACCTGGCTCTGTATTTTTGTACGGTCTAGCAGAGCGAGAAAGTTTGACGGTCATGGAGGCAAACTGGAAAAGCCTGTTGTTAATCACTCTCACTCAGGGAAACTTGTCACTGGAGAGGCCTGAAGTTTCCATCTCTGGGAGTGGCTTCTGCAGGCTGTGTGAAGTGCTGGACCCAGCCACTTGCAGCTTAGAATCACTTGTACCGCGAGGCACCCGCCCCCCCCCCCCCCCCCCCTTTTATGTCCCAGGGAGGAGAGAGATCAAAGCAGCCCTCTGCGATCAGAACTGTCCTCGGCTGGGCTCTGTTTGGCCCTGCTTCTGTGGGAGTGGAGGACACCCGTGATGTCCCACTGCAGACAGCTGCTCAAGGGCTCCCTGCCCTCCAGTGGTGGCTCTTCACAAGATGGACAGCAGCTGGGCTGCAAATGGGGAAGGCTTTGGATCCCAAAACAAGCACTCTACAGCGACAGCACTCCATTTGCTGTCTGAATCTCCTGAGACTTTAATATGGTAACCAGGCTGATGTGAGAAAAATGCCAAGTCTGGGACCTTAGAAAAAGGTATGATTAAAAATACACACAAAATCAGACTATGTACACTGGAATCAGGCTGACATTGTGTACAACTGATACCTGGGATGTACATCCTATAAAGATCCATAAGAGATTCATTTTAAGGTTGTTTAAATTTAGAGAACATTAACCCTAAATGTGCCGAGTCTATTTCCTGATGACTGCGTACTGTGTTACCTGAGCAGCATGTCCACCACCATCTCTGACAAGACAGCCTTGCAAGTTAGAAAACTACAAGTGTAAATTTCAACTTAGGGATCAGAATCACTGTAACTTCTGTAAGGCCCTGCACACCTCTCGGCCTTGCAGCTGAGCTGTTAGGGGCCTGTTGCTGGGAGGCAGTCACAGGTTTTTGCTTTTGCGTAGCCATCCCTGATTACAGGCACTAATCCTGTTTTCACACAGTTGGTTGACTCTTCATAGTCTGATCCCTCATTTCCCAGCAAAGCAAGTGAGCCATTGTAAATCCAAAGAAAGGTGGCTGATTTGTCCAGTCAGCTCCACACCTGCTGCAGTTTCAGAGGACCTTACAAATGTCACCAACAGGCAGGCCCTGGGTCTGTGACTGCCAGTCTTGGCAAGGATGCAGTGTGGGTGTTAACTGATCTTCCTGCAACAGCCTCCACCCTGCCAGTCTCAGGAGAGGGGCAAAGTGGTACAACACTTGCCCTAGGGCTTCAGAGGGTCTAGCAGGGCTGGGCACACAGAAACCCCAAGGAAAGCAAGCCCAGAATGGTGTCCGAACAGAGCACGCTGCGCTTTAACCCTTTCTCTCCTGAGTTCTCTGTAATGTCCAAATCTTACATTTATTGGGAAATCAATACACTCCAGGGGTCCTTTCAAAGCTTCCAGAAACACAATGGCATGTGGGGGTTCTGGGTCTAGGTCACAACACAAAGACCTCAGACCCTGAAGAGAAGACAGGCTCTGGTGGGAAAAGGCAAGCTCGGGTGCTGGTGGCTTTTGACTTCAAAGGCAAATAATAAAAAGGCAACAGTAAGTCAATTAGCCCAGAGACAGCGAGTCTTCTGTGGACATGAAAGGGACAATGCACATGGGGCTACATCGTGTTTACGGAAGAAAGCAGTGCCGCTGCCAACACATTTGGGTTTTTGATCCAAAGCAAAAAGTTCTCTCGGCCCTTCCTGACAGAGCATGGGGACACTAAGAAAACAGCTATTCAACAAATACGTTATCCTTTTGTACAAGTTCAATTCCAGTTTTTAACATTCCATCTTACAACACTCATGCATACACTTGTGGCAGCTTCATCCGACAAGCCTACCAGGAGCCATACTCTTCCAGGCATACACATGATGCTTTGTTGTCCCTGTGCAGTCTTGCAAGAGGTCTGAGCAAAGGCAGGCGACCCTCTAGTACTGGTCCCTGTCTGCTGGTTTCCATCAGGGCTCCTCCTCCAACAGGGGAAGGTCTGTGTTCAGGAAAAGGTACAGGAAGCATCACTGATAAGAACAGGATACCAATCTAAAGACACGGGGTCTGTCAATCTACCCTGACCTGGTCCTGTAGGGAGATGAAAAACAACTAAAAGAAGTTTGCTGGCTGGTGATGACCCTTCTGCACGCAGGAGCAGCTTCATTCTCTCCATGGCCCAGGCTTGTGGGGTGCCACCTGAAAGCCCCACTGTTTGCCTTGCTTTCCACCCTTCGTGCCACCGGCCTCCAGTCCACTCGAGTATTCTGAGTGCAGGACTTCAGCGAGCACAAGGCGGCGCTTTCTCTGGCTTTTCCTCCGAGGGTCAGGCCTGAGGACAGAAGCAGAGAGCAAGGCTTTAGTGTCTGTCTTCCCCATTTGGAGAGAGGCTGACAGCAGCTGGCTATGAGGCCAGGAGGCTGACATTTTTGTATTAGCAGAAGAGCAATCTCTTCAGTAGCACTTGTTTTGATATTCTATGCACCAGAAGATTAGATACGGTGCTGACAGATTTTCATAACGGTGGCAAAATACCATGGCATTTTTAAAAGTGAGGCTTTGTTCTGTGTTGTTTTCATGGGGTGGGGGGAAGAAACGTACACACTCTCACACTCTGATGGCAAATGAGGTGCACGAGACAGCAGTTTGCTGTGGATGGGAACGCCCACAGTGCAATGTAGTTAGCTGAAAAGCTTCCATATGCAGGGCCTTAGGGATGAACCCTTGGGGTCTAGCAGACTGTAGGCACAGTGCCTTGCTAGATAGGTCTTGAAGGCAGGGTATCTATGCAGACTCCCCAGCACTCACTAGAGAGCAGAAAACACCCTGATCCTGCAAATCCCAAGCCCAACTGCCACCAGAGCATAGCACTGCAGACCTGGGGCCAGAAGGAGGGCATTCTTTGTCTTGACCCCACTACTTGATCAGAAGAAACTTATAGAATTCAACCATACACTGACGAGTGAGAATGGAATCCTAAGAATAAAACTCAGAAGCAATGACCAATAAGTTCATACTGGCTTTTTCTGTAGCATCCCACATGACTGACTCAGGAACTCAATGTAAGGAGCTCAAGAAAAGCAACTGGCTGCTCTCTGACTTGACAGCATGTTGTGTGGTTAGTCAGAGACTAGACACAATAAACAGAAGTCCTTTAAAATCCAAGAATTAGACACAGCTATACTGTGCTTGCTATTAGCTTTAGTAGGAAGGTTGAAGATCCCACCATAATGAAGGTAAAGATATTTATAATCCCAACCAGAGCACAGGGCCGCAGTGATAAGATCCAGTTTCCTTCCTTCCTTCCTCCCCCCCTCCCTGTCTTCCTTTCGTTCATGTACACTGGTGTTTCGCCTGTATATACTCTATGTGAGGGTATTGGATCCCCTAGAACTAGAATTATAGACAGCTGTGAGCTGCCATGTGGGTGCTGGGAACTGAACCCAGGTTCTCTGGAAGAACAGCCAATGCTCTTAAACCGCTGAGCCATCTCTCCAGCTCCCGCCCCCCCCCCCCCGCCACTCTTGTTCTAGCAAGAGGAAGAGTCAACCTTGCCAGAGTAAAATATTTGAGGGAAGGGTATGTTAGCAATGATATTTAGGGCTGAAAGTTTATTCATTTAAGTGTGTTGGGGCAGGACTCAAG